TAAAGGACAGCCCATTTAGCATGTAGCTGAGGAGCCCATATCAAGTTTCCAAGCTTCTCCTACTCCCTGACAATGAGAAAGTCGGTTTTAATGTCTCTTATATATCACGTTCATGACCCACTTAAAGAAAATAACTCTCAGTTTAACATCTGTGGCTGAAATGTCTTTAGCAGCATGTGACCAGTACTGAGGACAGAGCTGTTGCCACATTAAGCTCCACTTTACATCATTTCTTTTCTTCTTTTCCACCCATGCCCTCCCTCTGATCACAGGCCTTGCCCTGGTTGTTGGTTACTGTAGGGATGGTACAAGCGGGAGGAGCAGCTGATGGCAGAAGTGCGGCAAGACACGGGCTATGCACTTGGAAACTTTGGTAAGATGTGAATCCTGGAGGATTCATCACAAGTCACAGGCCTTCTGAGTTAGGGAGAGAGGTACAGGGAGAGTGCTACAAGAGTTTCTAATTTGAATTAGATGCATAGTGCACAGAAATTTGTACCAGTTAGGTGTATATAGATATATACACACACATGTTTTTTTATGCATATGTATTTTACATATGAGCATGTGTGTGTGTGTGTATATCTATCTATATATACATGTATGGATGTCTCCTACCACGCACTGTGCAGCCCTCTAGGAAGCAGCACTGTGCTCTCAGTGCTTGGCCACAGTGAACATGCTTTCAGTGTCCCAATTGCATTTACAGCCAGAAGCAGGCGTCCTGGGGACTCCCCAAATTTTGGGGCTCTCATGACCAGTCTCCCCATATCTGATTGCACATCCAATGGCTGATAGCAGTAGCTGATCTCTACTTTGGGCCTCTTTTTTGCCTGAGCAGGGAGCTCAGCCTGGGCTACAGCCTGACCCAGGCACCACAGTGACGTCTTCGACTGCAGTGAAGTCATAAGCAGCGGGGCTGTGTTTCAAGCTGAAGTGGCAGACAGCACAGAGTAGATGTTATCACACCCTTTGTAAAAAAATCCTGGGAGAGTGGGACCAAGCTTTGAAGCTTTCACCCAACAAGCTTTGACCCCTTTGGAAAAGTCTGCTTCTTCTGTCTTTCCTTCCCTCGCTCTCAGCACAGTGGCTGAGCCTACACCAGCCCTGTGGCATCAGAGCACCACGCCACGCCGCCGCGGCCACCCCGTGATGGCCTGGCGGGGTCAGTAGGTGTTCGGGGCCAAGAGGAAACCCAGCACCTTTGCACATTGGAGCCGTTTACAATGACTTTTGTTGCTGATGGCGCATGTTTGGTTGTACTTGTTAAATCTTGTTAAACAGGAAACAGGTTTCGAGGCGAGAGGGTCCCTTAGAGTTCAAGCTCCTGCTTTCAAATGTTCTTACAAGATGCACAATTGGCACTGACTTACAGGAAATATTTAATTGGAGTCGGAAGGCGCTGGCTCCACTGACCTTGTATTACATTCCTCTGCGTGCTCCTTTCACAATGATTTTCACCTATAGCTTAAATCAGTGATTTATTTATACCATCCAATGGTGAGTTCAGCAGCATCAAGGGGACGAGTGGATCCTGGAGATGCAGCAAGTGAAAGGGAGGAGCGAGCAGCAAGGAAGAGTCTTACAAAGCAGAAGGGGCTGCCGCAAACCTGAGAGTGACATATTTATGAGTCCAGTATCGGTTGCCTGCACTGATAAGCCACAGTCATTAAAGGAAGGAAAAGTCACCTTTGTGTATATAAAATATACAAGATTCATAGTCTGAAAAGACTCGACAGGAAAGCATTAGGTAAATAAAGGATATCCCATAAAGCATAATGTGAAAATTAAATTACCTCATAAGGGAGGAAGGCTGTCTGTCCCAGCAGTGAAAGTGAGGAAAAATGAAATTCCTCTATTCCATCCCAAAGCTGATTTGGCTTTGGGGTTTTGGGTGGATCTAGACACATTGTTACTGATGTCTATAAAAAAAGGCATTAAAGTCCATTACATTGGACTGGAAATGCTGCAGCTTCCCATAAATTTTCAATGTATGCTCACAAGGTGGTGAGAAGCATCCTATACATCGCTGCTCATGGTGGCCAAATAACAGAAGTGCCATTTTAGGGGCAAGCTGGACTTTCAACGTTATTTCCAGTTTTCAGGTCTCACCAGATTTTCTTTTCAACTGATTTTGGGAGCTGTACTTGTGAAACACTTGGAAAAGTTTTCTTCCCTCTTCCCAGGACTTTTCTCTTCTGGTGAAACGTATCCAGGATCCACCTATTTTTGCTTTAACTGTCTCCAAAGCCAAGGAAATGTTGAAATGTCAGGGAGAGGCTAAAGGAGGGACATTGAAGGAGTTCGCTTATTACACTATCCAGCAGAAGAGATAATGGGAAAAAAAGAAAAGAGAAAGAGAAAACCACAAAGATAATATTTTCAAAGCTTTATAATCAAATTTCAAAGCTTTATAATAAAAAAAGCAAATAAAAAAAAATCCTTTTGTTTTTTACAGAATGAACAATTTCACAAGTAAGCGGTCTGCTAGCGGCTGTCCCGGTGGAAGGCATGCACAGCCCCTGCCTTGCATACAGGTGGCTAACTCGTGAGCAATGTGTAACTTTGCAGCCTCAGCAGCGAGTCCCTGTGGATACAGCCCTCAGACCCTCCAAAAGCTGTTAACTAAAAGCCTCACTGATGCCTAGTGTCTCAGCACAGTGTTTTTGCTGAGGAGGAGCTGATTTGACCTGAATCAAGCCAATCTCCTTGTTATTGCAGACTTTGATCCTAAAGACACAATCCCCACAGTGGTTAGGTAGATGCAAATAGCAGCTTGTAGCCACTATTAAGGTCAGATTTTTTTTTTTTCCCCAGCAGAATTCACTGATTAACATCTATTTAAAAATGTGTCTGTCTACTTTGGTGCTCTCTCTGCATGCCAGAAGCCTGGGGGAAGCCACTTCCCCAACTTGCCATGGGATTTTGGAAGGATAACTTAAGCAAAGAGCTCAGCACCAGTTCCTTGGGTCTTGATTCCCAGGAACATGTGCCAGAGTTGCTGATCCAACAGAAAAACATATCTGACTTCTCTGGTGCCTCACATAAGCAAATCAAGTTGTTCTCGTGCCCAGGCAGGGGCCCGGGAGATGGACTTACTCAGCATAGCCTGCTTTTTGCCCTGCAGTTTGCATCAACACTTCTTCCCACCCACTCTTCCACTCCAGATCTTTACAGATCTGGGTCATATTGCTGCTACATTTCGTTCTGCCTGTGAAGCCCTTTGCTCCTCAGGAGCTGACAGTTTCCTCTCCAGAGCATCTCTGCACCTTCAGGCCTCTATATCAGACAAATGTACCAAGCATTAATATGGGCGACCACCAAGCAACAGAAGGGAAGAAAGCAAGCAAGCAAGAAACCTATTCTGAGCAAATGGAATTGAATCAGGGGGGGTGAAAGTTAGTTATCTTTGCAGACCAATAATCTAATGGCATTGCTCTTGCACATCAGTACAGCCACTAAAGGGTCACCATAAACAGCTCTTCTCCCATTATAGACCCATGATGATAAACTTAGAAGATCCTTTTTCAAGTCAAAACAAATATAGGGCCTGGCTCTCTGTTCTCGGCAGTCAACATTGCTCCAGTGACCTCCATTGACCTGTTTTTTACCAGACAGGGCCCTCACTCTTCTGGAGCTGCCTTCTCCTTTCAAGTGCATGGGAAGGGAAGAGTGCCTCTGAGCAAGGCAATCAATATTGCAGCCAGGTTTATGCCTAGGAAACTGTGACTAAAGAAACATTAAACTACTGATTTGCCACCTCTGGAAATGCAGTTTAGTCCAACTCTGTCATCTTTATCCATAGCCCTTGGGGACATTTCTTTATTTGTAAGGGGTTTACTTTAAAAACTCTGCATGTGATCCCCCATTAGATAAATAAAGTGTGATCTAGAAGCGAGAAATGAGAGATTAGTTTTGTGAAAAGCCTGTTAGACGAAACAGCTTCATTTCATTTGATTTGGGATTTTTCCTTTATTCACTCTTTCACCCTTTTCTGGTGTCTCAGCTCCTCCTCTAATAAATAACTAGTCCACATCACTAAACCACTGCACATAACTCAGAGCAATTTGTTACTGTTGGCAATGTCTGTGCAGTGGGGGCCCAGGAACAGGCCAGCATGGAAGCAGTAATACCTCCCACTCTTCAGGAGCATGATTTCTGCCTGATTACAGAAGGGGTCATTGGTAGGACAATGTAGAGAAGGTCGTATACAATTGCCTCCACACAAATTGTATGTGCTGCATGATCCTTGCACAAGCTCCTTTACCCAGGAGTATCTGTCAGGAGAAATAGGTCCTGTGATATCAACACTGCAGATGTGAAAGGACATTAAAAAAATTAATACATATTCATAATCACCAGCATACAATGAAAGTGTCTGAGTATTTTATATAGCCCTGGGCCCAGAGGATAGTTTAAAATACAGAAATTCCTCTAGAAACAATGATATAATAAATCCACTAGGCCTAAGGTCCTTCCAAAGGTAAGACTATAAACACAGTCCAAATACTTGGCGAGGCTGTAACATTAAGAGTCATGTACAGTTTTAAAAGGAAATGAGAAAGGACTATACATGTTTTTTCCCTTGACCCCCATCTATCTATCCTTCATCAACACTGAGTGGTACAAAGAGGACACCTTCTCATGGTATGGTTATTTTGATGGTACCTACTACAAGATATTACCTGGGAGTCAAGCTGCAGGCAAAGAAGGAGTTTCAGGGTCCTGCCAGGACAGGAGAGCTCAGCTGTCCCCTGCGTGCAAAAAGGTTTGAGGGTTAGCTAAGGGCATGTGGCACTTTGCAGAAGGGGCACCCAATTTTCTTCTTCCCAGAAATCTCATGAGGGCTGAGGGAGGAGAAATAGAAGCTCCTCATCTTTGGAAAAAAACCCCTCATCCTAGTACATGCTGGTTGCTTCAGCTTAGTGGGATCTTTCTCAGCCTCCCTTTGTCTATACGCTTATGAGCATATAGTGTCTAATAAACCTTTCTCATTATAGCCACCTTCCTCGAGAGACCTTTTAGATAGCAACATGGAGAGAGGAAGCAGAGGAAACATCATTTCTATACACATTCCCATCTCTCACTGCCAATTAGCTGGTCTCTGTGGATGTTGGTACTTAAGCCTGGAAACCTTGGGGCTCAATGGAAGAGCATCAAATGGAAAGTAAAAAGTAAGTCAGCAGAGCATCTGGAGGGCAACTGCGGTTTACCTGGGCTGTAACATCTGGTCTCAGCAGCACCATGTGCCAGTGCTTTCCAATTTCAAAGTCATCTTATTTGTTTCTGTGGGGATTTGGGGGAAGTTTGTTATTTGCTGTTGGTTTTGTGTTTTTGTTTTGCTTTTTAACAAAGCAGGTCTAGAAAGAGTACGCTTTCCAAAAAAGGCATTGTTTAAAGTAATAATACAAGAGGGAAAATGGGGGATGTGGGGGAAGGCGAGAGAGAAGCAATGAAGAAAGAAAATCTCCTCAGTTGCTCTCAGTAGAAAAATACTGTGTCTGTAGGATGTGATGAGTTAAAAAAGAGAGAGCCTCCTGGAATTTCTCAGATACATTTAATGGAAGACAATATATTCTGGGAAAAAAAAAAAAAAAACAAAAAAAACAAAAAAAAAACAAAAAAAACCCCAAACAAACCCTCAGTTTTTTCTTGAAATGTTATTTTGTCATTTAAGTCCATCTAAGAGCTAAGCAAGGCAGAATATCAAACTTCCAGAGCTCTCATGCAAAAAGCAGAAAGGGCTGTGGCAAATTGGGTTTTTGCTACAGCCACGCTAATGACCAAAATAAAAGCCATGATGACCATTTTCCCAAGGGAGTTATAGGAGCCTTGAATAAGAGCTCTAGGCTGTCCAGGACCTTCACAGACTCCACCACTTGCTCTTTGACAGAACTGTGTTGCCCACTTCTGAGGAGGCAAAATCAACTGGAAGAGGAAAGTGATATAACTTGGATTGGGGAAATGAAGGTGATTTGAACTGCTTGGCTCCAAATGCAACAGGAGACAGCAAAGAGACGATGAGGGTCCAAGGAGAAAGGTTGGGATGCAGAGGAGCATCCCACAGCCCTGCTTTGTGGGCACAAGACCAGATTTCCTGGCCTGTATGCCACCACTTTGGCAGATTTTGGGACGGGCGAGAGCATAAAAGTTGGCTGTGCTGGTGATGTGCACTGCTTACCTCACTCATCTGTGAGAGACAACAAAAAGTGAGTCTGCTATCTTTGGCATCAAGCAGAAAGATAAACTTAATACCAGAAGGAACAGGTAGAGGAAGATTTTCACTTTCTCCATCCCTTTTAAGATTTGCCTTGGTCAGTTGATGATTAATACTAATATGCAGGTACTTCAAGTAATGTACAATGTTCAGATAGCCCTGTTAGTTACCAATTAATTGTTTGAAGGCAATAACATACTATGTTATTTTTATATGCATAATTCACATTAGTGGCATCTTATTGGCCAAAATGGAGAACCCAGGCAGCTTGCAGTGATAACAAACTTCACAAGATGGTGGCATCCACTTCATTCTGGATGTTTCACAAATGCCTGGATACCTAGTAAGATCACATGAAGCAAGGATTTTGTGGGGTATATCTCTACCTGTGTAATACCTTCTGTAACACTGAGCCTCTGCATTAGTCTCCCAGAAATAACGGAGCCACTCATACACTTAGAAGTCAGACACAGCTACTTGTCTTGCTGGATCAAGACCAAATCTCTTGTGTTTCCAGAATGGAGCTAAGTATCCACCACAAGTTCTCATGCGATTTCCAGTATTTCCATTTCAAGGCAGGCTACAAATCTTGCCTGAACACTTCACAGTGCTACATCTTGCAAGTCAATTCTGGTCAGACCCAGCAATGACACCCCTTCCATAAAATGGAAAATAGTTCATATATGATATCTATGCACATTCAAACTTCAAATTTCGATGTGAGGTTGGTTGAAGTCTGGGCTTTTAGATTAACTCTGCTTGCTTACTTATTTTTAAGATGTATTAATTTGCCTCCTCTTAACATGTTTTCTGTCATGCTTATCCTTCCCTGCTCTTGCCTAGCATTTCCAGACCTGATAAATCTGCACCTTTTACGTGACTTTTTTTGCTGGAAAGAATGAGTCCCTCTTCCTGACTCCCCCCTTATCCCTGTGTAAGTAACATCCATCATTGTATCAGCACCTGTCTGAGCAGCACTAGGGAAGGGTCAAGGTATTATTTCCTACCCTTGACAGGTGTTATAACAACTCTGAACCACCCCAACATATAAAAGTTTCCATTCTGCAAAGTGCTGCATGTACTTTTCTTCCTGCTATTCCATCCTCCCTGGAGGCTTCTCAGCTCTGCTCATGCCAAGGCAAAAAGGCCACTCACACTTCCACAAATGAAAAAGCAAAAGACAGACTTTACCCATATTTCATGGTGTTGAGAAGAGCCAGTGCACATGAGCACAGCCTCAGAGGTCTTCTGCAACTGCCACGGCTGGCATTGCCCCTCAGGTCAGGCTCTGTCTGAGACATGGTGCTGGGAAAATGTCCCGCCAGGCAGGGTCATGCTTGGGCTGAAATAGGAGACCCAGAGGAGCAAAATAACCACACAGAGGCACAGAAATTAATCTCAGACACCAAATAGTTAACCCTTGTCCAGGGAGTCAGTCAACCCATGCATGCACCTACATAGCTTACACAAGCAACACTATAAACAGACCTAGGAAGCCAGGACAAGGACTGGGCCTTACTGTAACAGAGACTAGGCAGATAACACAGAATTTGAACTCTTGGGATGCCAGCTGGGTTGCAGCAGGTAAAAAAGCCAGAGGAGATAACAAAATGCCAGTGCTGAGTAGAAGCAGTAGTGCAGGCACGCACAGCACAAGCACTCTGGAGTGCTCTTCAGAGAGATGCTGCATCCTCTTCTCTCCACATTCCTCACTCTCCTTTTCTGGACAGATGCACACACATGCACAGTCATACCCACTGTACGCGCATAAGCCTTCTGCTCTCTCCCTCCTGTAATATGCAGAAAGTGAGATAGTGAGAACAGTTTAAGGAACGAATGATCTATTAAAGCCACACAATGTGTGAGAAATGTGAAATATTTGGAGAGTGGATTCTCGGCCAAGCAGAAGTTACACACCTAGCCAAATTATCTGTCTTTTTTATGGGGAAATAGACATCTCTGCAAGATGACCTGTTTCATCCTGGCATAAGTGTTCAGACTAAACTAGGTTAAATCATTCCTTGCCATTAAATCTGGACAATTAGCTGAAATTAAACATCTAACTTTCAATTAAGTGGGATGAACTCCCTCCCTTGGGTTCCAGCTGCTCAGCTGTGGCTCAGAATTTCTCATCTTCTACACGATGCATTTCCCATTAGCTTGAAGTTCAGAGAGACAACACATCAGGTCATTCATCCAAGGAAAAGAGGAGCTCCCTGAAGAGGCTGCTTTTTGGGACCCTCAACTCTCCACCTTGTGTACACCCTTCCCTTTAGCAATGACATATTCCATCTTCATGCAAATCAAACAATTACTGCTGAGTGCACCAATGTCCAGGCACAAAGATTATGCCTGGTCTTCCCTGAGTTACTCCAGGAAATGCAAGGAAATTTGTATATTCAGATAAAAGTGCAGGGGGAGGGCATAATAGAAGGCTACAGGGGAGGGGAGAAACTTTATTTTTACTAAAACTGTTAATATTATTATATATTAGTCTACATCCTCCATTTTTACATGGTTTTTGGTTGTTTTGTTTGTTTGTTTTTCTTTCCCCCACAAAGAAGCACTGTACTTTAGGAGTAACTAACTACATTTTCCTGCATTCAGTTGCTGATAACTGTTGTGGAAAAGCTGCAGACTTCCAGTCTTAGAGGCACCTGAATAGTTAAAGATTGATTGAACCTATTCAGAGGTAGATTGACAATATTTCTGGCATCCTGAGGCTGGCAAGCCAATGGAAAGGACCACAGCACAGTGCCAAGCATTAGTTATTTCTACTCTCCACTTAGATTCCTGCAGACTGAGAGGTAGAATAAGAGACATTACAGCAGCCTTTGTCCATCAGAGGCATCCCAGAAGCAGTGAAATCCTTGCAAAGACTGAATTTTTTTAAAAAAATCTAATTAATTCCTTAATTATGATTAATTGTTTAACTTAGTTTGCCTATAAATCATAACGCAAGCTCGGGTATTTATCCAGCAGAGACACGCACTTCTTCTTTGACACACCACTGGCACCGAATATCCTGATTCAATGGCAAAAGTGTTTTCAATAAAACCCAGAAAAAGAAACTGCAAAAACAAACAAGAGCAATAAAATAATACCCTATGCAGAGGATAAAGAAAAGGCTAAAGTCAGCATTTTATCTGATAGTCTGTCTTCAGGAAATGCCTGTGAAAACAGTTTTGGAAAGTAATAGCTGATCTGGCTGCAGATATTCCCTGAAATAAGAAAGGTGAAAAATCCCGGTGCTGTTTTTTTTTTTAAAGGAAACAAAATAGTTCTCACCAGAAGAGAAGAATTCTGCCATCCCACAAAAGGAAGAGTGCCTTATTAAGGGTAAAGTATTAGAAGATACAAAGCTGCCAGAAGAAGGATTCATATACTTGTAAGAGCAAAAGGAAACAGCTCTGCATGAAAATGAGTGAATGGAAAGGGATAGACAAACACAGAGGAGGCCACTGTGGTGATGAAGTGTTTACCTAGCTGGGCTCTCTCTGAATCTCTGAGTGCCATCATCACAGTTTTCCTCATTCTCAGAATTTTATATGTGCTTTTTTTTTTTTTTTTAATTGACAGGCAATTGCACCCATGAAAATCTGAACCCTGCTCTGCTTTGCTTCATACCTTCTCTTCTCCACTCGCATGATGGCATATGTTCTGCAGGAGAGAGAAACAGACGGAGAGCTGGCAGGTGTCATACTCCCATTAAAGACAAGAAATGTAGCCGCAAAGATTTCCCTACTGTTTTAACATCTTGCCTAACCACTCCAGTTAAGCAAGGCACTGTAAGTGTTGCTTCTATGAGCATGCTTCTGTTCTTTCCTCACATTCACACTTACTCAAAACATACATGCCTCTTGCAACGTCAGTGGAATTAATCTCACTGTGTCAATACCTTTTTCCGGGGACAGAAGTTGAGGGCAATGCAGGGAAGCCACACATCTGCAAGGCAAATGATATCCTAAACGTGTCACCAGCGAACAAATGCACAACACATGGGAGCCATGGCAGATGTACTCTCCTGAAACCTGGTAGCCACATAAATAACGATCAACCTCACCTTCATCACCCAAAGTCCTGGGGCAACACTACTGCAGGGGCACATTTGATTGGGGGGGAATGCTTCCCAGACTGACACATAAGTGGGTATCGTCGACTTCAGTTTATGGTTTATTCTCCACTTCTTTAAAGACAGCGGGAGGCTCCTGAGGATGAGGTGTGGAGAGGTGGCCCCATGCCTGGAGCTGGAGGAGGGGTTCGCAGCGGGGATGGCTGGAGGATGCTGCACCTCCTGGCCTACTTGGCTGAAATGGAAGCTCAAACCTCTGTGCTTCCCCTCAGTTGTAGTTTATGGTTCTTTGGGAGGAGGGGCTCTCGAGGGGGAATGGAGGAACTGATATTATAAAACAGGCCATAAGTCAAATGTTAGCTTTTCTGGCCAACGTGAGTATTTGTAGAAGCAGCTTCCAGATTGCCCAGACTGTTGGGCGGTGGGATGGCTCTTATTGAACTGGGCAATACTAGGATCAGGCAAGCAGCGTAGTGAAGCAGGAGATCAGACACATGACAGAGAATATTAGGGTTGGGATCAGAGGGGGTCAGACTAAGATGGGTGTTTGCGGGGCTGTAGAAGCATTTTAGCCAGCTGTGACTAGCTGCCAGTCATCGTCATTTGTAACTACTGGGTCGCAGGTGAGGGAACCTGGAGCAGTGCTCAATAGCTTTGGGGAAAAAAAAAGACAATCAGTAGGATCCTTATACCTGAGCCCCTGAAAGTGTCTGGTATATTAAATAATAGTAAACTCAGGTACTGGATGCAGCATGCCTGGAAATCGTACGATAGAAATTAAGTGGCAGCCTGCCATCCAAGCCAGCCTCTGCAGAGTCCACGTCTTCCTCACATCTAGTGCCAGAATCAATCAGCCGATCCTGATCAGATATAGCTGTTCCTGGCATGGAAATGGGAAGGAAACCATCCCAAACAATAACAGCAAAATTAGTATCTCTTTAGAAACTGCCTAAGCAAACAGACACAATAACCTAATCCAACCAAAAATAAAAAATGATGCCTCTGAACAGCAGCAAGTGGAAGATAAGAACTAGTCTTTTATCAAGTACAGAGTCCTCCTGGACAGAAGAAAAAACAAGTGGAAGATCAAATGGATTGTGGGTCAAGTAAAGCACTAGGCAGAGAGGTTTGAAGCCAAACCACAGGACACATTTGTCAAGCTCTTAAAAAAATAGAAATGCAGGATCAAAGCAGAAGCACTTTGCAAATATTAACATTTGTCACCTACTTTTACTTTTGATGTACTTCATTTTGAAGACATTTCTCCCTTTTCTCTTTTTTTTTAAAAAAAACAGGATAACCTAATCTTTCAGTACACACACTTGCCTCCTTCAAAAGAAACACAATGACAATATTACTGAAACATGGAAGACTTTAATAAGAACAGATTAAAAGAACCAACATATGGAAAACAAATAATAAAAATATATTAAGCAGCAGTCCGGAGAAATGTTGTTGACACTGTTGTCAAATGTTCTAATATAAAGGTTTTGGTAGTTTTCCCAACAAAATATAAATGAAACAATAACTCTTTGTATTCCCTCACATTTGAGTGGAGGAAGAGCATTCCTGTAGTGCTTGAGTCAGCAACAACATAATTAAAGAAAATCACATTAGCACCAAATGGATCACATTATTTACTGATGTGTATGCGTGGGTTTGGAGATGCTACTTCATTGATTAACAGGATCGAACTATGGATTAAAAAAGTGAGATAAAAAAAAAAGCTTGAAAACTTTTTCTGGAGCATTTTAAGCTGTGTGTTTGCCCCTGCTACACCAGCTCTGCAGCTCATGTCCTTCAGACAAAGACAGTGAGATGAGTCCCAACTCAATGGTGGGCTGATAGTCCTGCAAGACTGGGTGGCAGTTTTGTTTTCTTCCTCCCTTCAGTCAGAAGGTTTTCGCGTCTCCACTGACACCCCAAGCTGCAGGACTGTAGGGGGAAGCAGCATTCGAGGACCTTCAGCATGCATTGAGAGCAACCTTCTGCACGCTGAGAGATTTACAGCTCTGCAGCCGAGGTATTGCTTTGCACAGTGCAAGATACATAACAACAACAATACCTCAGGCTGAATTTAGGAAATTCGGTAATTGTCAAGTGTGGTAAATCATCTTTAAAGCAAACACTTTTAAAAGCAGAGAGATAAAGTTCATTCCCCCGCGACAAGGCAGTAGTGAGGAATACAGCAAGGCTGTGGGCAGGTTTTCAAAGCAGCCCAGTCACGTTGGGCGAGATACTGCCGCCTGCTCCTGACGGGATTTCTGAGACTGCTGGCACCAGGGTGACAGGCCAGTAATCGTTAACAGGGGAAGTCTGTCTGGTGCCTGCTCTTTGTTCCAGCCCCACTTTCATATTTGAGAACCCTTATGGTATACCTTCTATTCACAGCAGCGTTTTAGCCTGTCGCAAGTGTGGCCCCAGTGATTATAGTTAGGCAAATACAGTAAGAACCCACACATGCTTGAGCCCTTCAAAGTATCTTTTTTTTTTTTCCTCAGTTTCCACTTGTTAATATTTGACTGAGTCTGTAGTTTGAACAAGTACTTCCCAAATATATTTCAGCTTTCAAAAAAAAAAAAGAGAAAAGCCACCGAACTTTTACGGAGCTCAGAGCATTTATGGCTGAAACTTGTTCTGCAGGTTCAGCCATCTGTCCTGCCTGTTCTTGCACAACTGTACTCTTGTAAAATGCATTTGGTCATCTTATTGGGGAACTTGCAATGCCCCAGGCACCATGTTTGGTTCCTGGATATCTCACGAGGATGACTTCTTGGAAACAGTAAAAATAAGGAAGATGCTAGGAAGATGTGGCTCGAAATGCTTACAGCTGCAAGGGGGAAGTAGGGATTGAAATGCAGATAACTGTCTCTCAAGGGATCCACCTGAAGGAAGAACATACCCAAAATGAGGGACTGTGGTCATCTCCATAGAAAAATTATGATGGGACACATGCTTCTGACTACATTAAAGTGAATTGTGGTACCAGTAGGAACATCAGAGCTGGACCAGCGTGATTATTACTCAGATTACCAAGTGCAGTGATTACCATTACTATTATCCACATAAAAGAGCTTGTCAAAAGGATCCATTCTTGCTATTCACCGTTGGGGAAATGTAACCTGTATTTCACAGAAGTTGAAATAAACAGAGTCCCATCAACTCCAGTACCTGTTCTTCTGAGCACTTCATGAAGGTCTATGCAGTCTTAGCGCAGGTGATGCGATGTGAAGTTACACAAAGGCTTCTTCATTCTGCTTCTGGCAATCTAAACCATTTTAAAGAGGATATCAATTATGCCATTCTGATGGAAGTTACAACAATTGATCTTATGTGAACCTGTTCATCTGTTTTAAATCTTCTTAATCCTATGCCGGGACAAATGTGAAATCAGAGAATTTTACATACCTAGCTTCTTTTTTCAGCCGTGCATATATACTGGTCCTGGATTTTGTATTTCTGTACACAAGAGTATTCCATGTATGGTGATATTGTTTGTACACCAAGATGAGGAAACAAGGACACTGCAATAATAACAAGGAAGCCCATTTTCCCTTTGAAGAAAAGGTCTTTGTTTTTTTAAGGCTTTATGATGGATGTAAACAACTGTGTGTTCTTAGAAACAATAGGTATTTTTTAACATGCCAATATAGCATTATTGTAATAACCTTCAGCAAACCTGAAAGGCTTTCGCATGAGCAAAGAAGGAGATTGTGGGGTTCATCTCAAAGCTTGTCTAGTTAAACAGATGTACAGGAATTGAGAAAATAGGGTGGAAACTGCACTGCATGATAGCAGTTCCACTTTCATTATGCCTTGCTTGTAACTGGAACAAAGTTATTATAGGTGAAGCTCTGGTCTGCTATGGTAATCAAAAAAGTCTGATCTCACCTGGTCACAGGGGGGAAAAAAAGTGTTGGGAAGGCTGAAAAAGGGAGAGAATGTTTTCCTAACAGGTTGACTTTCAATAAATACATAATTAAGGTTAATAACATTTATTAGAGGTGCAGAATAAGTGTTGGAATCGAGTAAATTTTTTTTACCAGATCTGTCTCACTTTATCGTAAGAAACCTCAGAATCAAAGAAACCCCTGAATCGAAGAACAAAAATTAAAAACCACTGCTGTCCTGCCTGATGCTGTTTCAGTGCTGATGAAACCATACCATCACAGTCTACCCCTTGCAGATGTCCTGGGTGAAGTCCCAGTTCTGTTGCGCTGGGTTTTACATGGACACTTAAATGTCAGATTTTCCATTGGTTTCTTCCCATTCTTCTCTAAGGAGCTGTGTCTCCACCTCTGGCATTTCCTGGACTGTAGATGTTAATGCAACATCTCCATCACCTCTCCTCTGTTAGCCCTTTTTCCACGTGTCATTTTACCTTCATAGGTGTTTGTTCCACTGTATCTTCTAATCTTCTTCTAATTTTCCACTGGGAAATCACAGTTGGAGCTGTCTTGTCATTTTCTCCCTGGAAGACATCACTTTTGCTGAGGCACATGAAAAGATCACAGCTTTTCTTTCAGTAATAACATCTCACCAGCTCAAGCAGGTAAGCAGAGGCAACCTGTCCGCTCTTGTCTATAGAGTCTATGGCTGCTGCCAAACACCCCTCTTCATAGCACTTCTTCCTCCTGGAAATGCAGCCATGGAGCAGTTCACATTTTCAAAGTGTAAATCAGGCTCATATCCTGGATGCAAATGGTACAGTTAGAGTACGGTCTGTTTAAATCAGCTCAGAAAGTGAAAACCAAATAATGAATGAGCACAGAAAATTAGCTTGGCAAAACTCCACTGCGATGATTTGTTTTCCGGAGTGCAGCTGATTCACAGATTTGAGGCCTCCATTGGTGCTGTCTAGGTTTAAAGCAAGATATTTCAACAAAAATTATAGCTGAAGAGCAGTTCTGCTGATGCAGGAAATGTTGTGAGGGTGACAGTGAACACTTGAGGTATGTGCAAGAGGGGTATAACCCAACCAGTACTGTTACATCTCTGCACGAAGCAGCCAAGCCAGCGGAGTTCCTGAATTTACTGGCTTTCCAGACCCCTGCCCTGCCCACAGCCCCACAATCACCCCACTACCCCAAACCCCAGAAGTGGGTTTAGCCAGATTCCTGTAAATTCCCACCAAAAAAGGCACTCTCTGGCTGGAACGGGCATGAGGAGGCTTGGCTGACCCTGCGTAGCTTCCAGCTACCCACCACCGAAACCATTCCTTTCCACGGGGGCAAGCTGATACCCCAAATAGTTTTGGGTGCTGGGGTCGCATTTGCTGCTCAGCCTGGCCCACAAAGGGTGAGGACCAGAGCATCTGATTTTAAAGTGGCCTTTTTTTACCCAGCGGCTTTGCTTGTCATCATTACTGCTCGCTAGCGGGATGGCTGCTGCGAGCCAGGGCACCGGTGACTGTGTGCAGACCCTGCGACAGGTCCCTCACTGCTGCCACACCAAAGAGGGCACAGGAAAGCCTTCAAGAGCTAAACTATACATAACAGCCCTCGGAGGAAACAAATGCTAAACAAACCGCTTCTTCGGGCTTGCTGCCGTTTTTCTTACACTGATAATAAAGGGAGAACAAGATCTCCGTGTGCTCGCTTCTATCTGCTTTCCACACCAAACGTTTAACATCCATCACATTCCTGAGAAAGGAACCAGCAGTTCTCAGAGAGATTGACCTGCATGCGTAGGTAGGTCGTAATGGAAGTTCTATCCCTTAATAAACTGGAAAGTGACTCTTTTTTTGAAGACAGAGGCATCAATAGCTGACATCAAGTGGAATACCCGATGGCATGCCTGCCAGCTGTGGGAACCTGCCCACAAGCATTTAGGAGCTCTCCAGGATGGATCTTTCGTTGTTTTGTTGTTGTTGTTGTTTGGTTGGTTGGTTGGTTTGGTTTGTTTTTTTTTTTTTTTACTGCAGCATGGAAATAGACAATGGAGATTTAAACTATCTTAAGACACAACAAAGTGCCCATCAGAGATTATATCAGCAGTACAACCCTATTAATTTCAGTGTCCTGAACATAAGGATTTATACCCACCATGTCTATTCAAAAAGCAAAACCAAAGCACAATGCGAACTCAAAAGGATAGATTGTGTCCTCACTTCAACTCCTATACAGTAATTAGGTCATCTGGCTTATGGACATGATGAAGGGGGATGATCTGTCTTTTAGATGATGTGGCATATTGGCTAGGAAAGCACTATGGATGTTTACTAACAGATTCCTCACAAATAAAAAATGGGGAAAAGGCTTCATTAAATTTTTAAGCTTTCAAAATTAAGATGACAAATGCAAACCATTATTTCATGATGTAAAGAATGAAAAGAGAGAGCTCTTTGACCATGGGAAGAAAGATGGCTTTGTTTCTGGCACACTTGAACTCTAGAAGTTATGAAGCAACAGAATGGCAGGTGATATTTCAAACTATTAATTTACCTGGGTCTACGGAAAGAGAAGTTAAAAAGTTCTGCCACAATATTTGCATGAGCAGAAATACCAATAGTTGTCAAACCATCCTCAGGAAGCTGGGGGAGGCTTTAAGAAGAAGAGCTTCGACAGGACAAAAATTGGAAGGAGACACGCTCAAATTACCCAGAAATGACTTGGCTGCAAGAGGGGCTAGTCAGAAATGTAAATTCAGAGTTAAAGGCATAAGATTTTCAAAGTGGCATCATGACGCCTTGCACAACACTGCCTGGACCCCTGTGACATGCAGATTTTAGTGGTGCAAAATGAGCAGTGCATGGGGAACCCTCTGCAATGAGGCGATACAGAGGTGGGTGTTGCAGAAAGCCCTGTCCTGACGCGGGGACGTCCCTGCTGAGTGGACAGGGGGCAGGAACGCTCAGGGGCAGCCGGCAAACGTGCACAGCACCGGCCCACCTGGGCAAACAGGGCCTGACCCGCACCCTGCCTGCCACCCAGCACCCGCACAGAGAGGTATTGGGGGGTTAGGAGAGGTTTTTTGTCTTTTTCTTAGTAAAAAAGAAAACACTGCACATTTTTAGTTTTTTGGTTTTTTTTTGTTTTTTTTTTTTCTTGCTTCACTCTCCAGCCCTGGCTACTTTCATGCTACAAGTTCTTCCTCTTTATACCATCTCCACGACTTTCTTTTTCTCACAAACAGAAGTGGAAAAAATTAAAGAAATAGAAGGGAGCAGGGAAAGGTGATAAATTAAAAGTGAGAAAAAACCCATCAAAACCCCTCTATTTTTCAGTGTCAGATTTACTAGCATAGAAAAATGTTTGGGGAATAATAGAGATTTCTCCAATCATTTTTTTTTTCTGAAGATATTCTGAAGTTTCTTTTTCTCTTTATTTTCATTTTCAAATTTTCAGCCTGGCTGTTTCCTATATCTGCAAAGTAGCATTGGAAAGACCCAATAGCTACTAAGGGCCTGTGAAACCAAACTCACAGCCCTGAGTCTTAAAATCCTCAGGACAGCATTCAGCAATGCAAAGCATGAGACTATTACTTCTTATATTTGCACATCATCATCACCTAATTGAAACTGTAGCTGAAGGAGGGGGAGGGAAAACCACAGAGCTGACTTCATGTGGTTACCAGAGAACATTTTTAATTGCCTTTATGTGGATAATACTATTTTTTCATTAATGCTTCCAGGACAGATTAAGGGGACGGCTCGACACTGTACGCGCCATTCACACAGCGTGGCATGTTGGTGGCATGAACAGACGTTTGGGTAGGTTTGGGGTTTTTTTTTTTTGCAAGTGCTTCACTTTTTTTCCAATAGACGTGGGCAAAGTTTTGTGTAATTTTCCACCGACCTTGATTATGCAATTGTGTATGACTGCTGCCCTCGACAACATCAAAGATGCCACTCTTGTTATCAGGTGGCCAGCAGCTCTGGCCAAGCGAGGGACACCCTGAGGGCACCCAGCAGTGCCAGGGGCAGATGGCCCTCCAGCCTGCCTTGATTAATGAGCTTCTCCTGGGGAAGCTCTTATTCCTCCCCCTCCAATTTTCTGAGGAGGGTAGGTGACAGTCATAGAATGCACAGAGGCATCATCAGGTAGATGATGATAAACCACAAAGAAACTGAATATTTATTTCCCCTTCTAAATAGAGAGAAGATGGTCCCAACCCGGCAACAGCACATGCTTAGCTCCACCCAGGGGCTCAAACTCCACTGAAGTCAAACGGTTAAATTCAGCCCTCTGAAGTCAGCAAGGGCAGCCCTTCATCTCAGTAGGGCTAGTTCCTCCTCCCAGTGCTAAGTGCTTTGATGAATCACGATGTAACACCCAAAGGAGGTGCAAAGCATCATCTCTTCCAGGGGCCATCCCTGATGCAGGCACAACTCTTTTGAGTGAGGCTGGAGCGGGGGCCAAGGCATGGCCCTTCCACCCTTCCTCCTACAGACCATCCCGAGTATCAGTGGGAAACACCGCCTGAATGAAGTCTCTGCTCCTCTCCACAGCCTGGACATGAGCAGACAGCAAAGGGTGATGGCCCTGCAGAGGCAATGGGGAGAATGAAGCAGAAATAGCATTCCCTGGGCCTCTCTTTGCCGAGGGAGTCCCTGATCTTGCTCAATAAACCTCCCCGCCAACCTCACAGGTACAAGGAAACCAACTACAGACCCAAAGTGCAAAAATGTGGCTAACATTATCCCCAAACCCTCCCATCACAGCCAGATTCTCTTTCAGCGTTACCATAATTTATCCCTCCCCCCAAAAACAGATGAAAGCCACTTACACCCGACGTTTCAGGTGGTTGAATATTAGTTATTTTTCCAGGTAGGACCTGGAAAACCAACCTATGAGAGGTTTCTACCTGCTCCTCTTTGAATACTCTTCTCTTTTTGGTCCCTTTTCGACAATTGCTTTTCTCTGCAAGCCTGGGAGGGAGGTTTTAGCAACCAGGTGATCTGTCTACCAAGTGCTCTTGACACAGTGAGGCAGAGGAATGAAAATTGCCCATTAATCCCTGGTTTTCAGAATTATTTTGCATCACATTTCCTGCAATACTGGGTAAGAATTTTCTGATCAAAGCAAGTCCTTTCCAAAGCATCTTTTTTTCTCTTTTTTTTTTTTTTTTTTTTTTTTTTTTTTAAACAAAAAAAGCAGAAAATTGAGTGAAAAATAAGGAGGAAGAAAAAGAAAAGATAAGCTCTGGTCAATCAAGCCCCAGGTCTCTTGTCTCCAGTTTGTGATATGTTTTATGATCTCAGACACAACAGATTGTGAGCCTGCAATGTTTGGAAATAGTAGATGATTAAACCTTCTGGCCAGGTGTAAATGCAACCTTTGTCTTCTGATGACTGTGTGAGAATTACCTTCCTTCTCAAAGTCCCCTGCTGGCCCTGCTCTCTTCACTGTTACAAATATCCCCTGCTTGGAGCTGCAACCACAGTGTGCTTCCACTTTATTTCTTTTCTATCCAGGCACCAATGCAATCCATATCACTCCAACTGTCCTGAGATATAACAAAAAAAAAAAAAAAATCTGAGCAAGATACCAAAAATTTGAAAGAACATGGCCTGTGAGTTTTTCTACTGCTTCTCCTGGGGGATTTTGTACCAGGTAAATAATAAAAAATGTGTAATGATTGACTAGGCTTTTAAGCCTCAGCTGAAGGTAAGTTTGCCTTGCTGTTCCAGTTAAATATTCTCACTAGCCCCCTTCTCTTTCTCCAGTTGATCATGCCACAAAGCCCCCTTCAGCCTGATTCATTCTTTATTCTTTAGAAATTTGGGCAACAGTCAAATCTGACCTTTAGAGTCATAAACAAATTAAATTGTTTCACAACCAAATAATACAAAACAATATTGAATAGCTAGACTTCCGCTGAGTTTCCTCTTAAAGAGAAAGAAGCCCCGAAACAGCACAGACATGGGAGATAGAGGAAGATAGGTGGAGGACAAGGCGTGCTGATACTCTGCATGGCAACGAGATGGTGAAGCACCGGGGTCTGGCTCCAGACTGACAGGTATCGGCACTTTGGAAGATGCTGTGAGAAGTGTTTATTAATTATTTACCTTTCTGGGAGCGGAGTGCTCCCCAAAAGGCATACCCCACTGCAAGCCTGTTGCTGCAGAGTCACCGGTGCCAGCAGCACCCTGCGCTCTGGCGACGGTTCAAGGTGAAACCCAAAGGTGGCCGAAGTGGCCTTGGTGCCGCCGGGTTGGAAACCGTTTCTCCTCTCCCCTCTGTTTGCCTGAACTTTGGCTGCGTGCGGCCCGGCCTCCCTGCACCCGCTGCTGCCACACGCGGTCCCGCTGACACGGGCGAGGGGCAGGGCGGTGTCACCCGCCGAGGGCTCTGCGGGGACATCCTTGGGCGCAGGGCTGTTCCCTTCCCCTCGGCTTGGGTGCGTGCCTGGAGGCTGCCAGCCGGGGAGGTGGCGAGCCGTGAGCCCTCTTTGGCGAGATGTGGTGGGGTTCAGCACATTTGTGGAGTGTTGCTGGAATGTGAAGCATCTGGGGCAGATGTGGAGACGTGATAAGGCTCCTTGTTGTCCTTAAAAACACTATGAAGTGGCCAGGTAGGGATTCCCCTGGAAAAGGGGGATTCCCTGCCTGGCACCCAGCTGGGTCCAGTTGCCATCGACGCTCTGGGACCATAGAATGAATCCCAGCCTCGGGCCCCTGGGGAGATCCCCAGTGCCCCCCCCTCTGCTGTGGGTGGCAGGGTGACACCTGGGCACCTGCTCACCCCATCCCCTTTGCAAGGGGACACCCCAGCTGGGGACAGGACACCCCTCCTCCCTCGCCTGCGCAGTCAGTGATGCAGTTTTTGCATAAAAGCACCAGACAGGGAAAGAAACAGAACAATAAACCAGCCAGCTGCGCGGCCTAGCAGCTCTATTGGGAACTTGCTCCTGCGCCGTGGCCAGCCCCTTGGCACGACGCCGGCCCATCCGCAGGGCACCAGCACCGGGAGCCCCCAGGGACGGTGTGTTTCTGTGCCACGCCAGCACTGAGCCTGGGGAAATTCACTGTCCTGGGCCCAGCTGCACGGGGCAGCTGCGGGCGGGAGAAGGGGTCGCGGGCTGGGCGCCAGGGACACGCGCCGCGCCGGTACGACCCGCGCTTAAACAGCGACGCTCTGACAACGGTGTGCCCGCTTACGCTTAATATAAAGAGACCCCAAACCGCCATTAATTCTTCCCGTACGTCATGTCACAAGCAACGATCAGTTTATATCAGACGTACAAACAGCACCCAGAGCTGCAGCTTTTCTCCCAGGCTGGACACTCGGCTACAGATGTGCTGTGGACAACCGTCCATGGCCCGAACTGCCGTTACTGTCACTGGTATGCAAAGCCTTTAATTATCTATGGAGCCCAACAGATGTGAAGCACATTTAGATGCTTTAATTAACTTGAAGAATTATGAAGTCGTGCCTGTAACTGAAATACAGTTTTGCCTTTTGTAAACCATTTGACATAAGAATGATGAGGCTAAGAATTAGATATAAGAATACATGTAAATATTTATACTACATTCATTACAGCAGTATCTGAGCGTATGTTTATGTTGTAACCTCCACTTCTACAACTGTTAATTTTGCTTTGCTGTATAACCCCCTGCGCTGCCTATTGCGTGGTGCCACGGGCACCCTCCTGCAGGGACTGCTTGGGTCTGGGACAATTCACGTAAAATCCCTTTCTCTGGGCAATATATTTCCCATGCTCTCAGTGCAAGACTTGCTGAGGCTTCAAAACCAGGACACTGGATGGAGAAGACTGCTGACCTAAACCAGGCTGACAACCCCTACCTTGTATAGCCCCAACAAACTAAACCACCTCATGTCATATTTCAAAGTCCTCTGAAACAGAGATCCAGCCACCTCATTTCACTACGGCAAGAAAATTCTGTGGCAGGGATCCAGTAGCTGCTGTCATCAAAATGCTGACAGAAACTGAGGTTAAGGGTACTAAATGTTTCGCTGTTAACAGAGCCAATGCAATGTGGTTTTTTGAAGATGGCGAAAGGAGGACTGAGGACTGCTGGTGATGGTGCTGAGATACATGCAAAGCTGTGAAAATAACTTTGAATAAGATTTTAGAAGTCTTCTAACTAAATAAAATACATGTGTATTTCAATCTAATGTTTTGTTCTAGCTTTAATGATTTTTTTTTTCATTGAAAATATTAGCCAATAGAGTGAAAAAAACTAATTTGGGGAAAAAATGTCAAAAGGCTTGATTTTGAAAAGTTCAAAACAGAACTTGTTGTGCCTTGGCATTTTCCTCCTACATTTTCTAGTAAATAAACTGTTTATCCAAAATAACCCATCTAGTTCTACACTTATTATAGTGAAAAGCAATGTTAGTAATTACATATGCACACACACTCACACAGGAATTTACCTTTTTTTTTTTTTTTCCCCGTGGAATAGAACTGCAAGCGCTGCAGGCAGAAGTTTTGACCAAAGGGTGTTTTGGAGCTTTTGTATTAGAAAATTAAACAATCTGACAGAGTATTTCTGATTTTTCCTACTGAACCCCATGACACTTGCCTCTTATCCCATTCCAGAAGATCTCTTTTGCAGTCAGCATCTTCCAGGAGGTGGTCCCAGCAAAGACTTTCCCTCAGCATCCCCCATTCTGCCTTCCCAGCCCGTCTCTTCTGCTGCCCCAAGCACCAGGCACAGTCATCAGAGGTCTCAGTGTGTGATGGTTCCTGAACTGGACTGACACTAGTCATTTAACACTGTCACTTTGTTTCTCCTAAGCTAATAAAAAAACAGGTTTTGTCATTTCCGTGAACACATTTCTTCTCCGCGCCATTAATTTCACCAGTCAGTGCCCTCAGCGTGACACTGGGCAGTAGCAGTTCCCTTGCTGTCCTCCTTGAAGAATGAGTTTTGCTTTGCAAGGGACAATTAAATTTTTCTGGCAGGATGGAGAGGAGGAGCACCATCGTGCTCTCAGCAGTCGCATCCCTTGGGGAGCAGGTGGGAGATGCTGGCCACTGCCAGGAGCAGAGCCTGGGAGAGCCAGCTTGCATGGGACAGGGATTTGCCCCCTCAACAGGCATTGTCAGGCTGCTGGGGAGCCCAGCACAGGGAGCCCGGGCTCCTCGCGCGGGGCAGTTTCGCGTTTACACTGCAGGGACATCTCTCACCTCCATCCCCATAGCTAATAGCAATTCTGGTTACTGGGTCTCAGCCACAGACTGTTTCGTGCTATGCCTGCTTCATTCACCTGCTATTATCCTCTGCTGTTCTTCAGAAATTACTGCCAAATTATGCTGCTCTTTTTTTTTTTTTTTTTTTTCTTCTCCATCATTAATTTATTTTCTAGGGTGGAGAGCTTCCCAGATCACCCTCCACCCACTTACACACATGCGTGCACACACACTTTATAGAAAGTGTTTACTTATGCGGGGGCAATAGTTTAAAAGGTAAATGAAATAGAGGACGCAGCCTGGATTGGCTTAGCAACACAAACAGTGCCAGCAGGTAAAGGGCCCAGGCCTGTTCTTTCCCACCTCAGAATTGTTTTAAAATGACACCCCTTCATAATTAATTGTACAGCACCTGATTAGTCACTATTGACAGACCTAGAGCCAATTGACTCTTTTTTCTTCTTCTTCTTCTTTTTTTTTTTTTTTTTTTTTAATCTGGCTGAGGAGAAAATATGAAGTGCTTGTAACTACACATACAATATACCTCCTGGTGATTACATCAGGCAGCTGAGCAATTACAGCCAGTAGTATCAGCTCAGGAGCTGGAGGCTACAACAGCAGGATCACAGCGCAGCCTTAGCCTTTAATATGAAAATGAAGAAGGGAAGCAACAAATCCAATAAAACCTAGAAGTCAAACAAAGCCAACTGGGAGTTTGTTTGTTGATAAGTTGAAGGAAGAAATGCGGCTGATAAAGCCAGGCGCTTCTTCTGTTTCTCCGGTCTCTCTGGTGGATGAGGAGGATTGAACTACTCAGGAGGCAGCCGGAATCCACCCAAGTGAGAAGGCAACCCCAGTGGCAGAAAACACGTGTGTGTGCTTCATTAGCAATAGAGTTGGTTCAGAAGGGGTGGGTTTGTACCCATTTCCACTTCCAGGCATCTGTGAGTGCTTTGCAAAGCAAATAAATTTGCTCTGGGACAGGACAAGGACACACCACACCAGGGGAAGGTACTGGCAGCTTTTGCTCACCTTGATCTAAAATAGCATTATCGTGCTGGAAGCTTTGAAAGAACAAAGTCAGTCTCCATTACCAAGAAAACAGTTGAGGTCCTCCATCTCCAAATCTCCAGCAGCCCGCTTCCAGACATGCTGCTTTCGTGCACCTCAACGCTGTATCAGTTTAACTCAACCATTGTACAACCCAGTAAAGCTGAGTCCTGCCACTGTGCAAACACTCTACACTCTAAGAGGATCCGTACAAGACCTTAGCCAACTTCAGAGTACTTCTGAGTAAGGTATTAAGCCAATATCAGTACCTACATAGGCGCTTGCTCCACTGTGAGTTAATCAGTTTAAACCCATACCTTTAGATAAATACTTGTGTACAGGCAGACAATGACTTGGGATTTGACCAAAGCTCAGTGAATACAATGTTAATGAATGTGTGCTCTGAATAAATAAATAATTAAAGAGCCACTTAATTAAGGCTCCTCTGCAGCCATTCTTCTTGCAGAAGAGGCACTATATGCAGAAAACCTCAGGGTCAGCTCTAAAGCAGATTACATGAATTTGGCAACAGATCTGCTGTTCTGAAAGCTGAGGACCTCATCAGGAATATGTTGCTCTGGAAAAGATCTCCTGCATGGAAAGGCCTCTGCATGGCCCGTATCTAAACTCCTTTGACACAGGTGATTGTACATCCCAGCTGTAGTGACTTCCAAATGTAGGCCCAGAAGCACAGGATACTGCAGAGCTGAGATCCCACAGCTGACTGACACGAACCATCTTCGCTCCAGGAGGAGTCCAAGCCACGTTGGGTCCAAGGTGACAACCACTTCTAAACATGTCTAGCCCTGGATTGGGTTAGCATGCATGGTCCAAATGTGTGTAGAGTTATGTTCTCAGTTTAAACCAGTATAAAAGGTAGCATATGGTTAGTAGAAATTCCACCAGTTAAACTAGAACCAAATCACAGCTATTAATAGTTACAGTTTAGGACCCAGTTCTCCTTGGAAGAACGTACATTCTGCACCAGTTGATGTCCACACAGCCCGTAGATGAACCCTGGGATCCAGACCATATGTGTCCTTCTGCACTTGTTCACAGCTATTCCATAGAGAATCAACATTTATGGCTCAAAAGAATGCTGCAGGGACTTTGGAAAGAATAAACTGAGCCACACCCTCACTTTTAACTGGAATCAAAATGGTTTTATTTCTGTAAAACCATTATTAGCCTTAACCATCGTTTGTTTACAGGAACCATGACACAGGCTCTGTTTGAAAATGCAGTTTTCTGAAGAAACACTCTGGAAACGTGATTGAACTCAAACCCCTGTATATTTGCAGAACAAGGGCCTATGCAGAGGCAAGGAGTCACAAGAAGAAGAAACGGCTAGAGAATAGAAAACCTACAGGGTGAAGCAGTATATTGGGATTATAGTGGCAAGAAAACACAGCAGCAAGACAACACAGCTTCAGAAAAGAGTGCAGGAATCTCACTTCAGTTGCAAAATTTTTCTTCTGGTTAATTTTTAGGTCATAAAGCTTCTTTCAGTCTTTCTTTACCTCCTGTTTTTCAGGGAGGAATCTTACACCAGTTCTTCATTCCTGTTTTCTCATTCCCTTTCTGAGTTTCTGCAAGAAGCAGGTTTTCTGCGTTTTCCATTCCAGAATTCTCATGGAATTTGGCCCTACAGTTATAACCAACACTCACATCTCATATTTTATCCTACACCTGCTGAAACAAACCACGGAGCTCCTGCTCCAGTAAAGGGTACATATACTTGGATGACACCTCAAAAGTTGGGCATCTGAAGCTACGTATGGAACGAATACCTGAACTAATTTTCCATGAAGGAGGGGTATAAAATTCAAAATGCCCTTTTGGTAACACATACAGGTACTCACACTGAAATTCAGTTTCAACTCACAACCCATTTAACACAGCACTATTTAAACGCTGAGCCAGAAGTCTACAACCGGTTTCCTCTGATCCACCACTAAGCCATGCAGCTGATGTCTAACTCACAGCCTATACCTCCAAAATGAACATTTATACTCTTTCACTCAATCAAGTCTTGCTCTCCAGGTCCTTGCCTAACTTCTGCAGATGCATTTCAGAAGTAGCTTATATCTTCAGCAGAAAACAACACTCACAGAACCCAGTAGCTACCTTGATCGCCTGGCCTTAGTGACAGATGACTTTTGACAACAAAACAGAGTCCATTCCAGTGGAATAAGAAAGGTAGGGTAGTCTTTGAGGCGTTTCAGTCCCCAGATTTTGTTAAGAAAGCAGCGCTCTTGCCTGTACATCTCTATACATCACCTCAAGATTTCTCCTGCATGTCTTCAAAGACACGTAACTTTACACGCAGGCTTTGTCCTCCTGATTTGAAATAATTTCCCTGACCTGTTACTCAGCCACAGCCAATCTTCTTTCCCTCCTCATCCACATGCAGAGACTTTCCTCTCTGACTCCCACAGCTGCTTCTCTTTTGCAAGACCTGTTTCTATGCAGCTGTGCTAACAGGTCTCTGCAGGATCCTGCCCGGTCCCCAGGGTCCCTCACCAGCTCTCCAGCTGCCTCGTGTCAAGAGGTTAATCCTAGCGCATGCAGGCAGGCAGGTCCCACATGACCTGTTTAGGCACCCCTTGTCACCCCTCCCTTCACCCCACTCCATTTTGCTCTGCTCTGGTCCCACTCAGCCCAAGGGTGACTTAGCAGGGATTGGATTTCCCACCTCATGCCCTCCCAACCTCCCCTCAGGAGCCACCCACTGCCGAGCCCGCTCCATCAGGACCCCCCTGTGTTCTCTGTTTCCAATCAGAAACACGGGGTTCTCTTCTCACCTCTTCCATCTTCCTTGTGAAAATGAAAACCATGCCTCATAGCTGCAGTTCCAGTCTCCAGCACTCTGGTTGCAGGAGTGGACAACGTAAGCAAGGAAAAGCCATTGTTCTCGCAGCCTGAGACACCAGCTCAGGGCTTGAGAGCCCAGGATTCTGCTCTACTTAGTTCTTCTCCTTGCCTTAATCCTGAGCTCTCATTTCCCAACCCCTAAATTAGGTTCTTGGTCTAAAAGTGTTTTTGGGATATTCAGTTCAGCTGGAAAGTGCACCCTGCATTCATGGATCAGCTATTACCCCAGAAAGA